GTCAATGCCGCAGTCCCTCAGCTTGCCCACCAGAATTGGGTGGGACACTGTGTCGAAGGCCTTCTGGAAGTCCAAGAAGATGACATCGACTTCCTCCTTCGCATCTAAGCTCTTTGTTACGTGGTCATAGAAAGAGACCAAGTTAGTCAGGCAGGATTGGCCTTGCACAAACCCATGTTTGGTTACCTCTCAACATCACTTCCCCTGCAGGGCTCTCACAAATGTGGCCCTTGATAATTTTTTCAAAGACCTTCCCCAGGATAGAAGTGAGGCTGACTGGCCTGTAGTTGTCAGGCTCTTCCTTCCTCCCCTTCTTGAAAATAGGGACCACATTGGCCCTTTTCCAGTCCTCAGGGAGTTGGCCCAAGCACCAGGAGTCCTCAAACAGCCGTGCCAATGGCTCCGCAATGACACCAGCCAATTCCCTCAGCACCCGCGGATGAAGGTCATCTGAGCCCACCAACTTGGACACGTCTAAGCCCTCCAGGTAGTCCTTAACTAGGTCTGAACTAACAGTCAGGGGACTCGCATCCTTCCTGGGCCTCTCTACGCTATCACCCGAGAGCACCCCCTTGTCAGCAGACAGGAACACGGAGGCAAAGAACTTGTTGAAGAGTTTTGCCTTCTCTCGCGCGTCCGTCACCAACTGCCCTGCCCTGCCCTGCCCTGCCCCGTAGGGGTCCAATGTTACCTCGAGACTTCTTGCTACCTATATACTTGAAGAAGGACTTTTTGTTATCCTTAATCCCAGAAGCTAAAAAAATTCCCAGATTTTTGCTTTTTCATCTGTTTTCGCACTACCAGTTCTACATGAAGGTGCTTGCCAGCTTGCATTTAAGGATACATATTAAGGTTTACAACTTCTATATACCTCTCCACAAAGATATGCCTGTATAATGAGAAAGTAATAGTTAAGGACAGTCTTGCCTGCCAGTTAGCAAATCTCTAATATCTCAGTTACACAAGAACAAACCCACTGAGATTATTTGTATGATTTCAATTAAGATGAAATCCCTTTCTTGCTTGCTGAAGGCACTGACAGCATTAATAAGCCTTGAGGCTAGTATTAGAGATAGTGTGCTTCATTACAGCTCTGAATTCAGTGATGACTTGTAGTGTCAAAAGCTAACACACTAGTGAAGAAACCAGAGGCAAAGGGGCAACGGAGTCGGGGGAAGTTGCTGACTCCAATTAACAAGGTAACCCCATCTATAGGAGACCTGCACAACATCTTTTATGTAGGGCACCATATAGTGTTTCCTTATCATAGGCATTTCCCTATCACAACTAGTTACAAGAGAACTCAAAAAACAAAACACTACTTTCCTTTCTAGAGCTCAAGGATAAATTATAGCAGCAGTAGCCTGATACAAGATTTTGGAACAGACTTTGTTTTTTTCTTTTCATGCTATGTAGTTGATGCATAAAATTTGCAGCTAATTTTAATGTTTTCAACTTGCCTGTGTTGGCTATGACAGGGTGTTTGTGGCCTGTAGCTGTTTAGCTTCGTGCTTTTGTATGTCAATCTCAAACTAAGCAGGATCTGACTAGGTGCAACTTTGGAGAGCAGGCTACAAAGGAAAAACATTTTTTTCTGACTGAAAGTGTTAATGATGGTTACAGTAGATAGTGGTACTTTTTCCCTTTCTATAGACAGCTTTGAACCAGTGCCTGGAGCACTTTGTCACTGTGGTGTTGAAGACAACCCCATTATGGCTGATGTCCTGACTTACAGGCATTAAAAATACCATGGAACTTTCTGTTTACAAGTATAGGCTAAATTCTTCACACACAGCTGTTACACAAAACAACTAGTCTTAGCGTGAAAGAGAATGCACTTTTATAGATTAGAAACTGGCTGAGACAAAAAACAGAGTTGGAATTTATGGTCAGTTTTGCTGTGGTTAACAGTGGGGTGCCCAACACATCCACGTGGCTTACTATATTGATCAGTTTTCTGAGAAAGGAAGTGAAGGTAGCAAAATCTGACGTATGGTTAAAAATTACTATGGGTCATTGAAGCTAGAGAGGACTGTTAGCAACTTTAAAGAGAAAGTCTAAAGTTAAATCTGAAGCACAGTGACAATGGAACCTCTTACTGGTAGCAAAATCAAGATCCTGAGCACTGGAAGAAATAACTTCAGCTCTTCATACAGATCACTGGGTTTTAACTGAAATGTAACCCTTCAGGAAACTATCACATGTATCACTTGGGGGAAAGTCGATATGCAGTAGCAAGAAGGGTGGAAGGAGGAAGAAGGAAAGAAGTAAGATGTATTAAGTGATGGGATAGAAACAGTAATGTGAATTTTTTTTAACCAGTGGACAGCTGCCATCCCTCAGAACTTCCTGCAGACCACTATGCACCGTTACCATTGATCTCTTAATTAAAAGGCAGAGATTTGATACGATGCAGAAGCCAGTGGGATAGAATAATATTGCACCATTATTGTATAAACCTGTTGCATTCAATCACCTGGAATGTTAATTCAAGATGAGAAAGCATTCAGAGATGAATGAAGGATTAGATTAGAGATGAAGGAAAATTTATCATAGGAATAAAAGGGTCCCAGGGTTTTTTTGGTTTTGTTTTTTGTTTTTTTTTTTAGAGATGATGTATATAACATCATGATAAATGATAAAGGTAAACAGAATAATATATCCTGCCATAAGGATAAAATATGAAGCCTCTGTTCACTTTCTCTCTCAAAACTGAGAGAGAACTCAAACAGGAAAATTCAAAACAACAACTTTTAAATAATAGAGAATAAAAGAATATACTTTTTTGCATAGTAACATATAGAACTCATTGCCATTGGATATCTTCAGAGGCTACAGTCCAGATTCAAGAAGTATTTAGGTACTAAACGCACCTTTGATTTTAAGCATAATGGTAAATCAGGCCCCTAAATACCTTTGTCAGACTGATTGCAAGTGTAGCAAGCTACAAAACAGTTCGACCATTTGTAAGAACAGTGGACTAGTTCCTAGTTGTACTAGGGGAAACATGAACAGTCCACCAACCAATCGGGGTTAGAAAAAAAATTATTCTGTGGCTAGGCTCTTCCATAATTGTCACTATGGAGTTTCTAGGAAGATCTGGTATTATCCATTGTCAGAGGCAGACTACTACTAGTTTCTTCAGGTGTTACACTCCTACGTCCTGTAACCAACTGCTAGGTTTTCCCCCTGACAGTGGCTGCTTCATTCTAGTGGGCAGGTACTGATTTTCCTTTGAAAACCAATGCAAGTTTCTAAAGCACTTTGGAATCCTTCAGAATGAAACATATCCATTCACTGCACAACTTTGTTCCCATTCAATCTGTAGATGCTAATGAGTTCTTTCTAAGGTGCATATACTGGGGAGAAATACTGGCTCTTTTGAAATCAGTGGCAAAACTTTGGACTTCAGTAGGGTTGTGATTTTAGCTTACATTTTTAAAACCCTAATAGGTGATTGTCACAATATCTCATAGTGCCTGCAGTGCTCACTATCTGTGCTTTTTAGGCTGTTAAATCTGAATTAATATGTGTATGATATATGATGCCAATATCAGGTTTGTTGCTGACAATTAATTATGAACTTTAGCAGTAAAACTGATGGTAACCTCTTAGCCCTGTAGTAAACCAGACCAGCTAAAAACTCAAGCTAGGCTAAGTAAATCAGAAGCATGAGGGAATAATTTCCATTGGAAAGTTTAAAATAAACTAGAACAATGAGTCCTGAGCGGTGAAATAACTATTCTAGTTATGTTTACATACCAAAAGATTAAGCAGTAAGTCTAATCTTTGCTTTTTTGTTTTCCTTCTAGGAGAAGCTCTGCCTACCACATCACATCCTAGAAGAAAAGGGCTTGGTAAAAGTGAGCATAACCGTTCAAGCATTACTAGACGTAACCACAACGAAACAAGCTTTATTCACGTGAAACCACGAGGTCTGCTGTAATCAGCTCTGCTGTGCCATCCAAGTATTAAAACACACTGCTCATCTTTTCACACTGCATTGAACAACACACTACTGCTCCAAGAGAGCATTCCTGCATACCTGACCTGAAATTCATCTTTCAGATTTTGAACGTGTCAAGCTATAAATCAGAAACAAAACAAATCATTTTATAGAGCAGATTGGCACTTCACTGCATTTATGTCACTTGTACAGTACTTACTAAAATGACCACCTCTCTGCCACTTCCATAAGTGTGGAATATAGCTGTCTTGCAGCAAGATACATTGACCTGATTAAAGTAAAAACCGTCTTTCTTTTTGTTTGTTTGGTTTGGTTTTTTTTGGAAAGATAAATATTGGAATTGTACCACGTTAGTTTTTCTGCAGTTGCTTCAGGCCATTGCTTTTTAAAAATACCCAGACCTAAAATATTTATATAAATATTATTTATTAGTGAATTGTTATTCATCCTTTGGATGCAAAATGTAAATTAGGAAACTGTATTTTATTACTGCTTTTTTGTGGTTAAACACTTTAATATAAATATTTAGTTATTTTTTATTCTGGTTGGTGTGCAGTAGTATTAGACCTCCGGAAGCCGTATTTTCTAATACGTAACAATAAACAACACTAGGTGCTTTTATGAAAAGAACTGTTGGCTGGGATGGCACTCACTCATTTTCAGATGTGTGGAACATGGGTAACATTTGTCTGCATTTCTTTAGCTTCTTACATTCCAGCAGCACCTCCCTCCTTCCCCTGTTAGATCAAATTGGTTGAAGTTTAGAGCACACCCATTTTATTTGTATATAGCTGTTATTAGAAATAAATAAATAAATAAGGAAAGATTAAACTTGAAAACATAAATGTGAACAACTATTTTTGATTGATACTTATTTTACTATGCACAAGACATTAAACTTTTACCACAGCAAAGCAAATGATGTGCATTAGCATCATGTGTCTTGAAATCGAATTTTGCACTGTAACTTGAGTGATATTCAAAGAAGAGAGCACTACAGGACAAATTAAGGAAAAAATAGCACAAGGAAGTAAACAATAGGAAGTTTACCAGCTAGCCAAAATGTGTGCAGTCGATGGTTTCTTCAAGAGAAGATACAGTTGTTCAGATTGCCTACCATCCTAAAGGCCCTTTGTCAAATACTCACTGCTTGGTGTTGTGCTTACTACAGTGATTATAATCTCATTATAGTCCATGTAGTTCCTCCGGATTTCACATAACACTGAGCATAACATTTAGTGGTGAATGTTTGCAGGATCTAGATTCCTTGTCCCAACTGAGGAACAGAAAATAAGGGGTCATGTTATTTTTAACTTCAGAAGTTGTAAATGCCTAATTTATTATCAAAGCATTGTTGGAAAAATGTTCTAGGTAGATACATTTGAGCACAGTGGTATTCACAATATTTGGAACATCAATTTCCTTTGTATGAAAACCTGGTGAGGTCATTTAGGCAAACAAGGCAGGGAAGTTGTATGTGGCAAAAAGGATGGGTGTTAGGGTCAGTGTTACATTCAAGCAAGTAGCATTTGAAGCGCATTACACACAGGTGAGACAATGTAGAGGGGGATTTAAGTAGCAAGTGGATGGGTAGAAATAAAAAGCTTAAAGCTGTTTGAAAGAACAGTGCATCATTGTCACAATACTCCATATTCTAGGCAGAGTTTTAAGCATGTTCACACAAAGACAAGGCATTTAAAAATCCCCATATTCCAGTAACTGATTTTTTTAAGCTTGAATAATATATGCTATTTGAATGCAGACTAAGCATTTTTGACATTTCAAATTGCCAGTGTACTGGAGTGTATTGAGGGCAACTTGTTAGGGGGATAAGTGATATCCAGGATAATGAGACTTAAAGTATGTATATCCAGTTATTTCAACCAAAGCAAAAGCTTTTGTTTTATCGAGGGAACATTGACTTAAATTGTAATTTTGATTGGCAGCTAGCATATTATTTCCTATTAAACTGTACTGTGCACTTTAACACTAAATTAAAATGTATTTTAATGTTTGACAGAGCTGCACAAATACCTGTTTTGTCAAAAAGCCTGAACAATGTAAAGAAAGTAAGTTTTCAACTCAGAGTATATCAGACTTAAAAAATAAGCATTCAAAGATTGACTATATAAATAGGAATATTCATTGCTGCATCTTGAAGGGTAAAATGCAGGTTCCTGAGTATTTTTTTACAATGTATATATGGCAACATGAAGCTTTGTAATTATTATTTTAACAAATCTTTGTTTTTTCATAATTAAAGTTTGATTTTTCTCCTGATAGTGTCCTTCAGTATTTGCTGAAAGTTGGCTGTAAATGGCTCTAAATATTTTGTAATACAGCTTTTTTATGCAGTCTTAACCTGTATGGCTAAAAAAAATCTTCATGAATCTTTGTACACTATTTATATGTGCAATAAAGCATGCATGGCCAACTGATAATATAAGCAGTGAACATAATGTATATAGTGCAAATATCCTAACTGTAGTTACAATTAAACCATTTTATTTGTACAAACCATGTAATGACTGCTCCTGTGATTGTACCATAGAGGTGTTTGGAGAAATTAGAAGCAAAGCTAGTGGGGGTGGGGGAATGGGAATGCTGCTGTCTTTCGTTACCTGACAAAATATTTTAGTAGGAGATCTGTATGCAAGCATCCTGCTCAGTGCTGGTGCCCCTGTCTTTTGGTATATGTAGTCTGTCATCTGTAGCTGCAAAGCTGGAAGAATTAATACAATTTGGACTAAAACTGCTGTGTTGCACATCCCAGGGTAGGGAACTGATGAGCTGTAGATCTGTCTTTAGAAACCTATTTTAATAGGTCTAAAAAATTGCCTGGGTTTTGTCTCCCACTTCAGTTCTTGAAGAGTCCTGAGATACTTCAGAATTACAGGGCAGAGGCGGCTTTCACCCATTCAAGTTGTCTTCTGCTCTGTTTGAACACAGGGTTTATCTTTGGATCCTGGTGCTTGAACAATTTCTCCCTTATTTCCCCCCTATATTACTGTATGGTACAGATATCTTTCTTCCTGCTGCCACAGTTTTTGCAGATGGGTTGCCATTTTTGTCCTGCCAAGCTGTATTGTTTGAGTGGTTCTGTGCATGCTGTGACACCTCTGTATTCCATAGAAAGACCTTTTGCATCTGTCCTCAGAGAACAGCAAAATAGCGCTTTAGATTACCTTATTTATTCATGTACCACGCTCGCCTTTTCCCCAAAATTAGTGTGCGTGTCTTAAACAAGGAAACGGATTATGAACAGTTTGGTTAAAAGGAAAAGTCTTTTTTACCCCTCATTCAGCCTTCCCAAAACAAGGTACATGTCAAATTTTTAAGAGCATGTGATATTTAAATAAATACAAAATTGGAAGTAGCGTCTGTGGATTTCCAATTACTATTCATAGATTTCATAGATTTTAGGTTGGAAGGGACCTATTACATCATCGAGTCTGACCTCCGGGCCTGGGCAGGAAAGAGTGCAGGGGTCAGATGACCTCAGCCAGGTGTCTGTCCAATCTCCTCTTAAATACCTCCAAGGGAGGGGACAGCACCACCTCCCTTGGAAGCGTATTCCATATTTTGGCAACCCTCACTGTAAAGAATTTTTTCCTGATGTCTAATCTGAATTTGCTCTCCCTCAGTTTGTGGCCATTGTTTCTAGTTACCCTGATGGGCACCCTGGTAAACACCTTGTCCCCTGTTTTCTGCTCTGCCTCCCTAATGAGTTTGTAGATGGCCACAAGATCACCTTTCAGCCTTCTCTTATGGAGACTGAAGAGGTTCAGGTCCCTCAAGTGGTCCTTGTAGGGTTTTTCCTGTAGACCTTTAAACAGCCCTCCTCTGAACCCTTTCCAGGTTATCTACATCCCTTCTGAAGTGGGGCGCCCAAAACTGGATGCAGTACTCCAGCTGTGGCCTGACCAGTACTGCATAGAGGATGAGTATCACCTCCTTGGACCTGTTTGTGATGCAACTACTTATACAAGAAAGAGTGTGGTTAGCTTTACTTACTACTTCATCACATTGGTGACTCATGCTCATTTTGGAGTCGACTATGACTCAGATCCCTTTCCGCAGTTGTGCTACTTAGAGTGGTACCTCCCAGGCTGTAGGAGTGTTGATGATTCTTCCTCTCTAGGTGCAACACATGACACTTATCTTTGTTAAACTGCATCCTGTTCTGTTCTCCCCACTTCCCCAGCCTGTCCAAATCAGCCTGGATTTGCTCCCTGCTGTCTAGTTTGTTTACCTCCCCCCATAGTTTGGTGTCATAGTATCATAGTACTTAGGGTTGGAAGGGACCTAAACAGATCATCAGGTCCGACCCCCTGCCCTGGGCAGGAACGGGTGCTGGGGTCATATAACCCCAGCCAAATATCTGTCTAGCCTCCTCTTGAAGACCCCCAATTCCTGCTGGTCCCCCCTGGTGAGTTTGTAAATGATCAGATCCCCTCTCAGCCTTCTCTTGTGGAGGTTGAATAGG